TAGAACAGCGGTATCAGTTTGATAGAACAGGGGTATCGGTTCGATTGGCAGTATGATGATGGTTTCATATTACGCGTCTTCGTGACTTTGCCATGACATTGAGATGCTGCGAATGCTGACATGGTCATTTTTTATCTTGACCCATATAATATATCTAACTAATGAAGGTCGCGAAAGAAATATAATTTTCTATGTAGTTAAACTAATAGCTGTTTAATAGAACAGACAGGTGGTTTGACAGACTGTTCGATAGGCGGTTCGACAGATCAGGGGTATCAGTTCGACAGGCAGTTTGACAGCCAGTTTGACAGGCGGTTCGATTGACCAGATCAGCTGTCAATCGGATCGGCGGTATCGGATCGATTGGTGGTTCCGTAAAAGCGTTTGTGTATTTAAGACTGTTTCAATTTCACTTATATTCTTTATAGCCGCTATCATTTCGGAGGAGCGTGTGTGTGATATAATGTATCAATATCATCCTCACGGCATTACCAGGTAGGAGAGATAATTATTTCTATGGTTTGCATTTTTTACTCGCGGGTTCCCGTGGACCCTTGAGTCAGTCGACGTTGAGTCGTTACGACAGTTAAGTTCGGTATAATGAAGTGTATAAATTGCGAGGAGCATTTCGTGCCAAGTACCTGCGACACATGCAGTCGCAGGTAATGGTTGCGTGTGGGGAGGCGACTTGCCGCCTCCCCGTATGAAGATCGATTTTTGTGGACCCTGGCGAGGGCTCAGAGGGAGGAGGGTCCGCAAGTGAGGGCGAGAACGCCTCCGCGGAGCCTGCAGGCGAGGGTCAGGAGCGTGCAGATACCGGTGAGCCCACGGCAGGAAGCGCCGCTGCGCGTCATCCTCGACGTGGCTACGGATACAAGGCAGGTTGCCTTTTACAACTAGGGTAAGTATTTTTTAAATAGCCATCTTCATTCTATCTCTCTTTGGAGCTTTTTTTAAATATTTGGCTCCTTTTGTCTGTTGCAGATGGCGACGGACAGGCGGATTAAATTTTTATATCTCGTCTTGCAGTTAATTCACTACATACATTTATACATCATTAATTTGTGAAACATTAGTTTACAACAAATCGTACCACTGCAATATATCTTA